TATTTTAGCCAGCAACCGAGAGGTGGCTAACACCCAACATTCTCTCGGCCCCGAAGAGTTAGGAGTTTCTTATACCCTGGTTTGAAAAGGGAGTGGGGAACCTAGCTGAAGCAATTTTTTCACAGAAGCAGTGTAAGCAAAAAGTTAAAAGGTAAAGGAGTACCTGAGAAATAAAACAGTGCCAGGTGCAAGGGCTAGAGCTGTCATAAAAAGACATACACCTTATAGATACGGGGCCTCTGGGTACTTGACAGCACCTGCAGTCCCAGGCTCTGCTGGTGCCACTTTACTCGGCCTCTTATCAGCAAATGCACTCTGGGATGCGCCCGCAGTTGTCCTGCCCCACCTGCATACTACAGTTGCATACTTAATGAGGGGAATAACTAAAATGAAGAAGCTAAGATGGAGTCTGTCCGGCTCAAGAAGCTAACAAGAAGCCTGAACAGCATTAAGCTAAGAAAGAGAGTCAGTTTAAGCTGACAAAAAACAGCTTATCACAACTGCACTCTAGCCTGGGCAACAGAGCGATACTTTACCTCAAAAAAAGTCACATTCATTAATATCACCATCAATTTCATCAGGAAAAAATGGTTTTTTGTTATTTATTTATTTGAGATGGAGTCCCACTTTGTTGCTCAGGCTAGAATGCAGTGGCACGATCTTAGCTCACTGCAACCTCCACCTCCCAGGTTCAAGCAATTCTCCTGCTTCAGCCCCCTGCGTAGCCGGGATTACAGGTGCATGCCACCACGCCTGGCTAATTTTGTGTGTTTAGTAGAGACAAGGTTTCACCACGTTGGCCAGGCTGGTCTCACACTCCTGACCTCTGATCTGCCCGCCTTGGTTTTCCAAAGTGCTGGGATTACAGGCATGAGCAACCATGCCTGGCCCAGGAAAAAAGCTTTATTTTAAAAAAAATTTTTTTTGGTAGAGACAGAGTCATACCAGGCTGGTCTCAAACTCCTGTCCTCTGTCCTCAAGGGATCCTTCCACCTCAGTCTCCCAAAGTGCTGGGACTACAGGCCTGAGCCTCCGCACCCTGCCAGAAAAGTTTTTAAGTGTCATGCCAGGTGCGCTGCCTCACGCCTGTAAACCCAGCATTTTGGGAGGCCGAGGTGGGCAGATTACCTGAGATCAGGAGTTCGACACTAGCCTGGCCAACATGGAGAAACGCTGTTTCTATTAAAAATACAAAAATTAGCTGGGCTTGGTGCTGGTGCCTGTAGTCCCAGCTACTCAGGAGGCTAAGGCAGGAGAATCTCTTGAACCTGGGAGACAGAGGTTGCAGTGAGCCGAGATCACACAACTACACTCCAGCCTGGGCAACAGAGCAAGACTTCAAAAAAAAAAAAAAAAAAAAGTTTCAGAAACTGTGAAGTTTACAGTGGTGGACACAGGTTTACCTAAATCCTGGTGTTTGCGCAAAAGTTCAATTTTACATTTACAAAAAACGCTGTCATTGTTTTCCTTGGTGGGACAGGGTAACCTGCCCACCTCAGCCTCCCAAAGTGCTGGGATTACAGGTGTGAGCCACCGCACCTGGCCCGTTAAATTTATTTCTAATTGTTTAATTTTTTTGTAGCTATTGTAAATGTGATTGTTTTCTTGATTTATTTTTCAGACTGTTGTTAGTATATTTAGAAGCGCTACTGATTTTTGTATGTTGATTTTGTATGCTGCAACTTTGCCGAATTTATTAATTAGTTTGAACATTTTTGGTGGAATTTCTGTTGCTTTAAGCCACCCAATCTGTAGTAACTTGTTATGGCAGCCACAGGGAACAGCGTGGGGGTCTCGTCACTCCAGGCAACAAGCCGCGCATCACGACTGCGGGTGTGAGTCCCCCTGGAAGCCCCTTGCCCTCCCTGCCAAGGATGGGACAACTGAGACCTAGGAAGTAACCCCTCGCTGAAAGGCCATCACATATGCTGAGATTGAATGTTCTTCACACAAACACAAGCTGACTGCCCCAAGGATGCCAGGGAGCCACTCTTAGGCACGCTGGCAAATTAAGGGAAGAGGCCAGGAACAGGGGTCACGCCTGTAATCCCAGCACTTTGGGAGGCCGAGGCAGGAGGATCACTCAAGATCAGATGTTCGAGGCTAGCCTGGCCAACATGGTGAAACCGCGTCTCTACTAAAAACATAACAAATTAGCCGGGCGTTGTGATGCGTGCCTGTAACCCCAGCTACTAGGGAAACTGAGGCAGGAGCAT